GGTGGGGAGGTTTTAGAGGGGGTTCTAGAACCTTCGGATGTGGGGCACACTTAGGGATAGTAGGTCACATGGGGGAATCCATTAAGGTTATATCAGCCCACCATTCCTACCACATCTCTGCTTCCTCTTCTGCTGTGATGTGAACAGTCATATGCTCCTGCCGCCATAGTTTGAGCTGCTTGGCCAGCATGGACTGAAGTCTCCTGAAACCAGGAAGCTTCGATAGTCCTTTTCCCTCAGCAGTCATTTCTGTCAGGTGCTTGTCACAGTCATGAAAAGAAATGTAAGTTCTTGTCAGCATTCCTTATTTCAGTATCAGGAGATCCTTTCTTTAACCAAAATCAGCTTTTGTTTCCTTCGGTGTATTTATTGAATACTTACTTCTACACCATATAAACAATATCTTATCCAAATCACCCTTAGTCCCCACACCAATGTCCCCAGACAGCCAGGGTAACACCATGATCCTGGCCTTAGCAACTCTGAACATACTCCTCCGTTGTGGTGTTTCCTCATGTATTTGGAGAAGTATCACATACTCTTTCTCAGTATACTTCTGAAAAGGAAAGCTTTAGATATATATGTTTTTTTTTCATACGTATAAAGAAAGACAGGCTCAACAGAATTTAAATGTAATTCAGAATCACACACTTCATTGGCTGTTGATCTCTGGAGTATAAAACTAGCTGAAATTTTGAAAAAGACTGAATTTGAAAAGGCATAAATCCACAACATACTGTTAGAGTCCAGAAGCAAAGAACTCAGCCCAACTGTGGTGGGTCATAGCAAACTTCCTGTAGGCGACAACTGAACATTAGGCAGGCCTTCCGAGAACAGAACTAGTCGAACATGTAAATGTGAGTGCATGCATGTGAAACTTCAGGAGGTGGGGCGCAGCTAGGGTCTGTGTGGATGGAAAATATGCAGCAAACATTTGGAGAGAGAGAGGAGAAAGGAAGGAGAGGAAGGAAGAGAGAGAGACTTATGAATGAACCCATTCATATCATTACAGAAGTTAAATTCTCAGATCTGCAAGTGGTTCGCCACACGTACACAGCTTCTCTGAGGGCCTTAGACATCCTAAGCCTAGGCCCCTTGCTTATCATATGCGTGCTTAAGTTAACCACGGGGCTATCTCCTCAGGCCTCATCACTTTTGCTCTTAACCCTGAGTTGTTGCTGTTTTTTCTTAACTATTTGAGGTACTTGTCATCTTTTAACCGTTCAGTTGAATTCACCCCTCACACTACAATCGCATGGTCCTGCACTTCCTTCTTCATAACACTCACATTTTAATGTAACTGAGCACATGCTGAACACCGGGAGCTCCTCTTCACTGGAGTTTCACAACAGCAGAGGTTGTATATTGGTGAAATTATTAAGGCCACTCCACGTAGTTAAAAGGGAGATTTATTTAGTGGGTAACTTACAAATGAAGGGATAGGTAGGTGGTGGGTTCTGGTGTCCAGGCCCTCAGCTGCAAGAGAGCGTGGTGCATCCTGATATCGGGTCTCAGGGCCTTCCCTTGGCCCCACCTTGTAGGCATGATAGTTACTGAAGCCCCAGTGGGGGTTGGAACTTCCAGACCAAAGCTGGGATGGCTACCCACTACAGTTGTATGTCACTTGCTCTCAGCATGGTCTTAGGTTGTGGTGGCATTGTGTCCCCCAATATATTGTGCACCCTAATAAACTAATCTGGGGTCAGAGAACAGAACAGCCACTAAATAGATATAGAGGCCAGAAAGTGGTGGCACTCACGCCTTTAATCCTAACATTCCAGAGGCAGAGATCTGTCTGGGATCTCTGTGAGTTCAAGGCCACACTGGAAACAGCCAGGCATGGTGGCACACACCTTTAATCCCAGGAAGTGATGGCAGGAAGCAGCAAAATATATAAGGTGCGAGGACCAGCAACTAGAGGCTTTTAAGCTTTTAGGCCTTTTAGCAGTAGTTCAGCTGAGATCAATTCAGATGCAGACTCAGAAGCTTTCAGTCTGAGGATTTGTGGGAACAGAATCAGAGTTGTCGAGGTGAGGTTGGCTGTGGCTTATTCTGTTTCTCTGATCTTTCAGAATTTACCCCAATAGCTGGCACTGGTTTTTTGTTTGTTTGTTTGTTTGTTTGTTTGTTTTGTTTTTAGTTAATAAGACCTTTTAAGATTCATGTTACATTAGGTCTCAGCACTTGCCTGACTAGAAGAGGCAACCAATAAATACTTATGGACTGAACTAACTGTGTTCTCGTTCCTTAGCTGTGACCTTTAAACTGTCATTTTCCAGGTTTCAAACCCCACTGCACCAGGTCCCAAGTGCCAACGATGCCACTCCTGTCCCAGCTGTTTGCACCAAGGGAAGGCACTGTGACTAACAGTTTTTTGAAAAGCTTTGGGTTCAGCAACAATCCACACAGAGTGAACCAACCAGACTTCTGACTGTGGCTTGTTCTTTCAACACACAACAGCAGTTTTAGCAACAGACAACCTAGCCTGCTGGTGTCATCCACGTGATCCTTAGAGAGGAATCCCAGTCTCCCAAAGAGCAGAACAATTGGGTGATTGTGGCTACAGTTGCCAGATTCACTTTGCATCTCCAGATAAACTCTGGTATCAAGTAAAATAGAAAAAAAAAAAGGACAAAAATCATTAGAAATGTGATAATTAAACAAAACACAACCTGAGGTAAAACTCTCCTAAAACTTTCAATAATGAGCATGCCAAGTTTAATTTTAAATGCTCGCACCATTTCTTTGCACACACACAACTAACCAGGTCAGCTTCCCCATTTTTTACCGAGATAGAATTCTAACAATTCCCTCACCTACACGAATGTTTACAGGGAAAACTGTGATGGCAGTTACTCTAAACCACGGCCCTCATCTTTAAAATATGCCCATCCGCGTAGCTGGTTCTGACTTTACCCTTTCAGCACTGTAATTCTCCCACATCTGTGGGTTCTGTTGCCCATGGTCATCTGAGTGGGCACAATGGGTGTGAACACTGAGTGGAAAATTCTGGAAATAAACAATCATAAACTTCAAATTATATGCCACCTTGAGGAGCTAGATAAAAAGCTTAGACCACGCTGCTCTCTTCTCACGGGACACTTGCTATTGTTCTGCGTATCCACTCGGTATATGCTGCTCATCCTAGTCATCTTGGTTACCAGTTTTGACAGCCATGGTAGCTCAGTAGTGGTGTCCGTGTCATCGTTACATAATACTACCCCACAACGTACATCACTCAGGGTACTCCATCTTGTCACCTAAGCACCAGCTCACATCATCATAAGAATGAGAGTAAACAAGTACAGTATAATGTCATATTTTAAGAAAGGGAGAGGAGAGCAACCGCCACATCTACAGAACTTGGATGATGTTAATTGCATTGTTGCACATTGTTCTATTTTACCACTACTGATTATTTCAATTGCTTAGTATGCCTACCTTACAAACTAAACTTTTCCACAGGCATGTGTGTGTTGGGATGTACTATAGGTATATAAACAGATAGATAAGGCTCAGGACTACCCAGAGTTTGGGGCGCCCATCGTAGATTTTTGCAACATATTCTCTAGGAATAAGAACAACCATTGTATAACATAGAGAATAGAAGTCAAGATGCAACTCAACTCCCTGCTTTTGATTTCTGTCTTCTCCAACCACGGAACTTGGACTCTAGGCTCTCAATTTACTGACTTACAAAAGACAAAGGTTAGTATCTTCCCTACCGTAAACAGTTGTGTCAATCAAATGGGATACTTTTTTTTTTTTTTTTTGAGAAAGAGACAGGGTCTTATGTAGCCCAGGCTGGCCCCAGATTCAAGCTGCAGCTGCAGAATGACTTTGAACTACTAATCCTCCTGACTCCATGTCTCAAACACTAAGATGATATGTGTGCATCACCATGTCTGATCTATATAGTGCTGGTGATCAGCCTTGTGTACCGTAGACAAGCATCCTAACAAGTGAACTACATCCCCCACCCCCGGCACAAGATGTCATTTTAAATCTATGAAATACTACACACATTCAGTTAATATTAATGCTAGATTATACAAGTATGGTAAACTTTGAGCAATGGTCTTCTCAAGCTGAAAGAGTTGATGAACTTCATGAAAGTTTTATATGAAAATATGACTAATAAATTATCCTTTGAAGTTTGTTCATCCGTTTTCACACTTTACTTTTCAAATGAAACTTCTTCCCCTAGCCCTGTTGGAGCACGTTCTGTTTAGTGGGTAATGAACAAATTATTTGTTCAATGAACAATTGATGGCTTCTCTGTTCTAGGCAGGACTCTGGTGAAGCCACATTTTCAGCTCACACTCAGCCTGTGTGATAGAGGAAGCGCATCTTAGGAAGAGCCATGGACCTCTTAAAGTAGAGATGCTCCGAGATGCAGCACCGGCCAGGGTTGGGAAAGGTGACGCTGACATCAGGCCAACTTGACACTGAGAGTCCACCTTAGCCAAGGACCCCTTGATGGTTGACTTCCACCAAGGCACAGAGACAGCAGCCTGAGTTTGCCATCTGGGTATAATAAGTGAAGAATTTGAATCATAAAAATTTCTACCTAATTTAAAAGGCACGGTATTGCTTTTCTCAAACTAACTGCCCCCGGCAGTTCTGGTTAATACTTCCGTTCAAAATAAAAACGTTAAAAGCCTTTTAGACTGGCATTTAAAATAATTTGGAAACAATGCTAAGACAATCTCTTTACATCAAACTTCCTGAGAGATATGAGTGTGTAGCCGTAACCCCCCCCCACACACACACATACCATTTCTGCTTATGGGAGGGCAATCTGCTGAGAAACTAGATAGGAGGTAGAAGGAGTCTTCCTGGGGAATGAGCAACAAGACACTGTGTACAGTTTAAACTTCTGAACTCAGGAGGACAACAGAGGACGATGAGGTTGGTCCCAAGAAAACCAGGTCAAAACACACTATGATTTTCAAACTGCTGCTCCACAGTTTAATAATCTTTGACAATTGTGCCTCTTTATTTCCAGAAAGGTGAAAAAAGGGATTGTTTCTTCCCTGTCCCCAACACAGCTGTGGCCTTTGTCACAGACTCTCAGGGACCTGTCTAGAACCAAGAATAGAAGCCTTAGAACTGACAGGAGGAAGCTTCCTGAGTTCCCTCTACTCCCGTTGATTGACAGGGACTCTGGTTGAAGAAGGAGGAAAAGGAGAAATATAGCCATGATGATGCAGAAAAGCCAGTACCTCTTCTTGGTTAAGGTTGACTCTCTCATGCAGTTTTGGAAAAAGAGAAGGCAAACTAAATTTTAGAATTTTTGAAACTTAAAAGCTATGGAAAGAAATCACAAGCAAAAAACAAACAAACAAACAAACCTTTAAAAACTGACTATATTAAGGATGGAAAACATATAAGCATAAAAAAGAAACAATCTGGTACAGATAGCATGAAGAGTGGGTAGCAGGAGTATGTAAAGATGCCATACACGTTCATAGGACCAACAGTCACCACCCCCATCACAACCACACAGAGGCAATAAACAATTTGTTCAGTGGAGGTGGTGGATGCTAATTAGCTACTGGAGATTATTTTATAAGGCATACAAATATTAGAAAGTTCATCATATCTCTCAAACATATGCGATTTTAACTTGTCAGTCACACTTCAACAAAGCTGACGTTCCTACTAGCAAACAATTGCAAATTAAAGTAAAAGGCTGTAGCTCTAGTAATAAATTAGAACAGATTTTCAAATCATGGTGCATTAGCCTCCTGAACCAGGCTTCTATGTCTGTAGATTCAGCCAATTGCAGACCAAAAATGTTTTGCGGGCAAAAGGGGATTCCATCTAATTGTCTATATAGTTTATATAGATTCCATTTTAGTTTTTTCTTATTGTTACTCCCAAGATGATTCAGTATAACAACTATTTATGGGGCATTTACACAACTATACCTACCCTAGAGCTGATCTTATGTAAATAGAAGCATGTACGTGTTATAAGCATCAACGTGCCCTATTATATAAGATTCTTGGGCAGTTGGAGTCCCAGGTAGTCTCTTGGAAGCGATCTCCTATAGACACAAGGACAACTATAATAATTATGGCGGCTATGCGGCAAGATGTAAACACTAAAACGTTGCTGAAAAATAAATAAATTATCTGCCTGAAGTCATTTTAAGCAGAAGCATTAAACATCTTGAAGGCAGGGCTGGAGAGAAATAGCTCAGCCATTGAGGGCACTGGCTGCTCCTCCAGAGGATCAGTTCCCAGAATCCACATGGCTGCTCACAACTGCCTGTAACTCCAGTCCCAGGGGACCTGATGCTCTCTCTCCTCTAGCCTCTGCTGGCATCAGGCACACATGCGTTACATAGACATGCATCCAAGCAAAATACCCATAAACAATTTCTTTTTTAAGTCTTCAAGTGGACTGGGGAAATAAATGGCTTAGTTGGCAAAGTGCTTGTTACATAAGCATGCATACCTGAGTTTGCATCCCCAGCACCCAGGTGAAAAGGCAGATGTGGTGAGTTCCCCAGCCCAAGAGAGTCCCTGACTTTAGTGACCAGCCAGTCTAACTAGCCAAAGAGCTCCAGGTTCACTGGGAGACCTTGTCCTCCCAAAAACTAGGGTGGGGAGTGCTAGAGGGAGACACTCCGTGCTTCTGGTCTCCACATGGGCCCCCCATTAGGGTGCACACACACATGCACACAAACACACAAATAAAAAACAAAAAGGAATGGACTGCAGCAAAATGTCAAAAGGGGTTGAGCAGGGCATTTTCTCCTTTGTGTCCTTTTTAAATATTTCATGATGAACGTCTTTTATGATTAAAACAAAATTCTGATTATAAAACAGAAGAGTCATGGATGTAGTGTTGCCAGATAGGTCAGTAGAATATACAGACTGGGCTCCAGACAGGTGTGATTAAATGCAAACATATATATACATATACATATACACATACACATACACATACATATACATATGGTCTTCAGCATTTATGATACCCGAAATTAGCAGTCCATGCAAATTCTTCCCAGTGTTCTAACTCAAAGAGATCCCTCTCTTCCAAAACCCACAACATCTGCTCATCTGCATAGCACTAGCTTGTCCTTGTCCCCTGTCATATACAGTTCTGTGGTCACCTCTGGTCACTCTAGTGCAAGTGTCCTTTGGTCAGTTGGGGAGGTGTTCCAGTCTTCCTCTTGGCCAACTTGTTTCTTTTCATGCGAATTTCATAAGGCTTTGCACGAGCCTCACTCTCTTTATTCTTCCTCCTTGGTTTTATTAAAAACAAAAGCAAAAGCTGACTGTGTTTGCACATTCATTGAAAACCCTAGGAGTTCTTTAGAGATTAATATTGATTTTCAAGATTTATTTCCTAGACAAATACCTCTAAAAAGCAAATCATAACTGGTCTATGAAGCCATATGTTCTGGTTTTAATTTCCCCCATCCAGCAACATGCAGACTAAAACAACACACACACACACACACACACACACACACACACACACACACACACACAATTGCTTTACTCAAATAATAAAAGTTATTGTTATGAACTTCCCTTCGTATATAAACCCATTTATTACCTGGGGAATACTTTATGGCAAGTGAGATTTAAAGATAGGAAACAAAAGAGGGTGGAATCTGAAACTCTCCTTTTGTGTTGTTCTCCAATCAGCAGGAACTTCCTGACCTGGGCTTCCGAAGCCAGTCAGTCATAGAAAGCACATTTTCATGCTACCTGCCTCAGCCAGCTCGCTGGGGAAACATGGTTCTTATTTAATGACATCTAAAGTGATGCACGCTCTTGGGTAAGTAGAGCAAAAAACCACAACGTCTTCTCCAGATGAAATTACTGGAGAATGGGGCTCGGTGATTAATCAAAGTTGATTTGGGGCCAAACAACGAAGGTTCTGATCGCTAAAGGGCCAGAAAGAGTTGCTGGGCCAAGCAGGGCAGATGGAGACCTCTGTGTGTGAAAGGTAGTCAGTCCTTCCCACAGTGGCTCCTGCTACCAACACTGGAAAACTGGCACAGGTCTGCCTCTAAAAAGTGCCAACAGGTTGAAATCACCAATCCCTCACCATCTGATTTCATGTACAAGTTCGGAGCTGGACGTTATGTCTATGTGAATATTCAGATTGGTTTAAAGGAAGAATCAAGAACATTTCAAAAATATCAAGGTGCTGATGGTAATACTTGACGTTATTAAATCCAGAACTATACAACTGGATGCACACACAGGTGCAAGCTGCTACCACACTCATTTCCCGTCATACTCTTTCTTAGTTTAGAAGCAACTTGCAAATGTAAACTCAAAGCATCTCTAAGAGACTGCTTTTATAACATTAAATCTCCTGGATATCCCCCCAACCCCAACCTTCCAGTTTCCAAGTGTGAACACAGAATGGTGCTCGGCTCTTGGCAGGAAGATTATGCATATTCAGATTATCCTGGTTCCTTTATGGTATCTTGGAGTTGGCCTACTGCAAATAATTTCTCCTCTGACACTCTCTTAAGCCCTTTTCCTACTATCAATACACCTTTCTGTGAGAGGTGAAGCGCAGTAGGGTGGTGTTTTCTGGATAACTCTGTTCAGTCTACATCCAGCATCCAGGATCACCAGGAACCAAGAGAGCCGGCACATCTGGATCTCGAGTCTTCAGGGCTCCCGTCTCAGCCCCGTTAGGAACAGGCCAAAGGTAGGCATGACAGTTAGCGGAAGCCTCACTGGGGGTCGTTGTTAGTTATTTAGCTGCGTTGTGTTCTTACCCTGCAAGGAAGTGTCACGAAACACGACAGAATCTGCTTATAAGAGTTTATTAGAGTTAAAGGGACAGAGAGTGCTCAGGCCTGTGGGAGAGACACGTGCGTGGAGAAGAAGAGGGACCGGGAACAAGGCGCTCCTCTTTAAAACCGGCTGGGGGCGTGGCCAGGTCACGTCACTACTCCACGCGTGTGCGTAGATCACATGGTCACGTTGTGCGCTTACATGGCCATGTAACGTCACGGATCCTGGTTACGCGAGACACCTTGACCCGGAACTTGCTAGGTGGAGGTGTCCAGGTCCGCCGGGTATCCTGGTTACGAGAGACGCCCTGACCCAGAAATGCCTATCCTGACCTGGAATTGGCTAGGCGGAAGTGTCCGCCCGGTATATGCAGCCGTGGGGGCGTGTTGTGAACCCTTCAGTAGTACTTCCAGGTCAAAGCTGGAACCCACTACAAAAGTCCAACTTGGCAAACCATTGAGTTGACTGAACTGACTTACAGGGAGAACATGGGCGAGCTTATGCTAAGGAGCATGAGTTACTTCCAGGAGTTCAGGTGACCTCCAAAGAAGCCATGCCACTGAAAAGTCTCATGCCAACTCACAGCTCCATAAATAAAGTGTCTCATCCCCAATTCACTTAGCCTATGCCATACTCCTACCCTCTCCTGAGACCAAGAGCTTAGACCCTACAAAAGTTAAGGGCCTAAGCTTTAGGCAGAATTACATTCAGCTGGAGGGAGGTGTAGGAAGAAGGACTTATGACCCTCCCTCCCCACCCCTTTCTGGATAATAGAGCACCAGCAGGCCTGAACAGGTTCTCTTGTGGGCTGTCCCAGCTGCTCGGGCGACAGTGGCAATGGCTGTTATGCTCAGAGCACAGCAGTCCAGCACAGGAAGTCATCCCGTACTTCAGTGTTTGGTAGCAGCAGTAAAAATCCAACTTAAAGCTCTCTCAGCACAGAGATTCTTAGGCTTGTCCGGTAGCGGGCCTCTTCCTGTGAACCATGTCCTCCTCCTTCTCAGACAGACAGACAGACAAAAATCCTCCGCGTGTGGCTCCCCGTCCCCCGACCCCAGGCAGCAGTATTTCTCCAAATGTTGTATCTGCAGGGCACAATTGTCACTCTGATCTAAGTGAGTCTCCACCATATTTTAGTTTTCTTCAAGGAGTTTCAAGGATGAATCCTGACTTAGGACTTGGAGAATCTGGTTTCTAGTGTTGCCAAAGGAAACCACTCAGCCTTGTTTCATTTCCAAATAGGGAATAAAGGGCTCTTATCACAGCTGCCTCCTAAGAGTGCATCAGCAATGATGTCTGTAATGTATTTGAAAGTGCATACAAGTATATGGAATTATGTAAACAAAAATATAAATACAGACAGGCAAATTCAAAGAACTCCAAAACTATTCATTGACTCATAATATGGAGTAAATCTCATGCCCAAACTTACCTGCAAGTGGTCAAATCAGTCATATTCAAATTGAAAGTTCCTTTTAGTGCTACTCAAATCATTAAGTGTATTGCCCTAGAAAGATAAACACTGTAATGGGTCTTTGAAGTAGGAACTGGTTTTGCTGGCTTTCTCCCCATCCTGTCTCCTTCAAAGTCATCAAAGCAACTTTCTAAAAGTGTGAATGTCTTACAAGTAGCTTCTAATGGACTCGCCCTTGCTCTGTTCCTCACTAATCAGAGGTAACCTGGCTTTTACATTGCTAATTATGCCTCTTTCAAAGGGCACTAAGGCTAATATTGGTTTTAAATGGTCCTAATGCATCCCTGCCTGGGACCAGGCTGCTCTGAGCAGCTCACACCCTGGTGGTAGGGCAGTCCGCAGGACAGACACTATGTCCCAAGGGCATCTAGCCAGCAGATTGGGGGGTTCCCAGGGTCATTTCTCTTTCTTTTCTCCAACCATTTGCACACTCTTCCCTAAACAGTAGATTCTCCTGCGTTTGATCTCCTCGAGAAGATTCCAAGGTTTTTTAAAAGGCTCATCACTACCTAAAAGAGCAATTTTTTAATTTAGTAAATTTTAAGAACAATTAAATCTTGGGGACATTGTTAAAAATGGAACCCTCTAGGCCACCCACTCCAGATATTTTAATTCCAGTCATTGGGTGAAGGATGGGATCACTCCTTTTAAATGACCAAGCTGAGAGGTTCTTGCCATGCAGTGGCAAGCATGGACAGCACAGTGTTCATCCTCGACCCAGCCACCTCCCCAGTCTCATCACCCAGTTAAGTCCCAGCCTGTGTTTTTAAAGTGTTTCTCCTTTTTTGGCCACTCAGCAACTGTAGACTTTTAAGGTCTTCCCAGACACCTACTCTGAAGTCTGCTCTAAGCTCCCATTTGGAATTCTCTCCCTAAAGTTTCCAGGCTATCCTAATGCATATGCCATTTGCCTTTGTGAGGTAACTGTTGCATTACCATCACTGTTCAGCCTATCAGTGAGCATTAACTGTTGAATACCCAAAGGTCAGAATCATATCTGATTTACCATTTAACCTGGAAAAGGTTGAGACTATAGTAGCTGCTAAAAGGTTGTGTGTAAACATAAAGACATTTAACTTAGATCTGGTATGTGTATTTAAGTGAGTGAGTGGGTAGGTGCGTCAGTTAGTTAGTTAGCTAGCTAGTTAGTTAGTTAGGCATCTCTCCACTGAGGCATCTTTCCTCAGAACACTGAGGTAGAGCCCACCTCTGATGTGACTGTAACATAAAGTCCATTCGAACAGACATACACATGGCCATGCTACACCCCCAAAGGACTGTTTACCTTATTCATTCAACTTTGGCTCCAGAATCTTGACATACTAGATAAGATATAAATGCTTCATTATAAAATATTTATGATTATTTTTATTGAGGATCTTTATAAAGATACTAAAACATTTGCTTAAAATCAATAATAGTGCATATTAACAGCCTGGTAGGGCACTGGGTGCTATCACATGTGATAAAACTGTAACGCAGGGCAGCTGCTTTGGAGTACAAGTCAGATAGCTTCCATTACAATGGAAAGTCTATTAAATTCAATTTCACTGTTTCATAATCCGTCCTAGGGATATCCAGACACAAGTAAACAGCGAACACATAAAATATTCATAACAGCACTGAATGCAATAGCAAAAGTTACCTCAATAAAGAGATGCGTAAATAAATATTTATATAGTCAAGCCATAGGATAATAGGCAGATACAGATAATGTATACTATATAGATAATATGCAGATAAGATGCACTACAGGTACTGCTATGAAAAGAGTTTTAATATATATGACTCAGCTTAGAAGTTATAGGGCTTACATTGTAATTGCTTTCCAAAGTTGGAAGTTGGTAATGCCTTTATTTCCACACTTCCTGTCTCCGTCAACAACTAAGGGTTTCAGGACAGGTGGGTGGTATGGCACAGTGGGCTTGAAGCTGCCTCTGCAGATAATATGTAGAGTTAGTGGTGCCAACGGCAAGCTTTTCCATGAAAGATTGACGTGGACATTTGCAGAGCTTCCTGAAGATGGGGTCTCTGTCTGGCCTGGTAGACTCGTTTTCTTCCTGTTTGCACAGGTTCTTTGCCTGTTTGTGTCGTGTTCGCATGCTCCACTTCCTCTTTGTGATCATTCCCCACTTCCGAGGACTGACGATAAACTGCAGAGTCCTGACTGTTTGCTTGGGCATCCCCATGACTCTGCTTATTAGCCAGCAATGGCTGCCTAGGACCTCACTTCTTTGTCTCTCATGGGAGTAGAAGGTGCTGGTCTGAATGCTGTGTTCTCTGCCCATGGGAAGAAGAGATGTTGAACTCTTTTCCTGGAAAGAGCCCCATGACTGGAGGGTCCAGTTAAAGTGCATTTTGTTTTTCCCTTGCTTCTATGTTCAGAAAGGAGGGGAAGCCACATGTTACCTGTGTTAGTGAGGCCTGAGGCTTAAGCACTTTGTGAAGCCCTTGGGAAGACAAATAGAAAGTTACACATCAAACATCCTAGAATCCCGGGTAGTGATATGCACACACAGGGCCCTTGGACATACGCCTCCCTAGCTCCTTGCTGAGCTCTCTCTGCCCAGTGTATAATATCAGTAAGAGCATGAGGATGGCCCCATCGTCTCACGTCCATGGTCACCCACATGGTGGAGAGAGCAAATAGATTCCCTTGCTTGTCCTCATCTTCATACATATGTGGTGGCAAACGCACATCCATCCACCCATGCACACACACACACACATATAAATAAGCAAATTTTAAAAATCCTTAATAGCAGGCTTCTTTTAAAAGATTAAATGGAAAGAACTAGACAAATTAAAGTTTCTTATATAAGTATTCTGATAAAAATACATCAGAATGGGAATTTTAAATTACTAATCAACATCATCTTGTCCTGGTTTATCTTGCCAGCCAAAGACACACTTCTCAGCATCTTCTCACAGCATCTATCCCATACTCCAGCCATCAATCGATGGCACCACGGGTATCTTTGTCACCGTGTGGAGCATGAGCTCCAATGTGGCTGACGCTCTGTCAGACGCTGCACAGATCCTGCTTGGGAGATAGAGGAGTTCCTACAAAGGCTTGGGGGCCTGGGGGGTGGTCTTGGGAATTATGGCCACACTGAGCAGTGTCCGTCTTTCCGCTCCTCTGCCCTCTCTGCCACATGCAAATAACCTCAGAAGGAGATCTTTAAACAATGTTCCCCCCACTAAAGTGAGACTGTCACCACAGACAGTCTAGTTCATGCCAAAGGAAATTCTCTCTGTCCTCTACTGTGACTTGATGTCAGCTTCCCTAGAAGTTCCAGGTTTTCACCTTGAAACCAAGAAGGAGGGAGAGGGAAGAATGGGGGGGAGGGGGGAGAGGAAGGGAGAAATAGGGAAGGACAAAAAAGAAGGAAAGAAAAGTACTTACTAATTCCTTCTGCTCTCACCAGAGCATGTTCAACAGCGATGCTCACTGGCCAGCCAGCCGATCCCATCAGTGAGCCCCAAGTTCAGCCAGAGCCCTGTCTCAAAAAATAAGACAAAGAGTCCTAGAGGAAGACACCTGATGTCAACCTCTGGGCTTCACATGTGACCTCACACATGTTCTTGTACACCTGCGTGCCACATGGACACACCCACACTAATGCGCGCACACACACACACACACACACACACACACACACACACAAATAAAATTTTTTTTAAAAAAAATAAACTTTTTTTTTTACAAGTCTCAGTCTATAACAAGAAAACAGGCACCAAAATACTAACAACCCAAGCAAACAGAATCCTAGTATTCTTCCTGTAGTCATGGAGATTCTCATGTCAGTCACATGGCTTAGACCATGTTTGTTTTCATGCTAAGTGGGCATAATTTTCCTATGCAGCTGATGTCTATTTCTTCATCAAGAATGTATTGAAATGCCAAAACTATAGCTATTTGGATTCATTGAAGTGTTGTGAAAAGTATAATGAGTAAATCTTGATACATATGTGTTCAAAATTGGTGTCGTTTCTTGCTGGTCATATCCCTCAAGAATGAAACCAAAGTAGATTATCATGTGATGCAAATCACTGAACCTGGAAGAGGGCTTAGTTTCTGCCACATGTAACAACAACAACAACAACAAATGATCAGAAATGAGGACATACCAAACAATAGAATGGATCTTCTTCCTTCCCATTAGTAGAAATCTCGTTTAGAATGTCCTTTGTAGAGGTACCCATTTGATCATGGGAAGTGTCACTCAGCTTGCCTTTGGATGGCAAGGAGGCACTGGGGGGCAGGGAAGAAATCTGAGGTACTGTCTGAGGTCTGCCCCTTGTCACTGTGACCGCATGTCTTTACTTCTTCTTCCTTTCCCTAAGGAACAGGTTGGCAAAGGCTGCCTTGACAGGTTCCCAACATTGAACCTCCTGGGCTTGGAAAAGAAGCATTCTAAAGAGGAAGCTGGATTCACTTACATATCTAAAATGGAGTATTACCATTCATTTTCTCTCTGGGAAATTGGTATCAGGTGATGGGTACAGAAAGTTTGTAGGGTGATTCTGGGTTGGACAAACAAATTCCCATGGATCTCTTTAACTTGTGATTACATTAAGTAAGCAACTCCCTTTATACTTTTATTCAAAAATAACAAGCTCTGTTTGGAAGGCTGGTATCCACTATTTATTACGCTCTCCAACCCAAACATGAAAACATTTGTACTTCTGTTATGACTTCACCTGGTGGCTTTCATTTTCCCCAACATAAAGACGGGGTGAAGCAGAGTAATAGAAAAATAGAAAACATCTTTGTCGGAAAATGAGCTCGCAGCTGTGTAACTGGAGCACACAACCATAAATCAGAATGTCAAATCCAAAACACATGACTTCGTGCGAGTTCTCCATGTGCGCTCTAATGTGACTACAGCCTGGTTGCTATTATGATTTAAAACAAAGTCTTTCATGCTAGAAACAAAATGCGGAATGTGAGCCGCCTGGGGGAGAGAGCTGTGAGCTAGCTAGCTAGCGACAGAGGCCTTGCCGTCATTGAGGTGGGCTACAGTATTTCAAGCATGGCTTTGTCAGGTGTGAGGGAACAAGAGGATACAAGAGGGAGCTTGGCAGAGGTCTTCACATGAGGGACGAATTAGCTGGCGCTGTTCGGTGCAGCTTGACAATCCGAAAGGAACTGCGTTCTCCTGTTCCCCGCCCAAGCAGAATCCTGAAGCCAAACACAAAGATTTCAGAAGTCTCCCTTTCCTGCCCATCACATAAACAAATGGCCCAGCTGTTACTGCTAAGATCCCAGTTTTAAACTTGGACTTTCTTGTATAAACTTCAATGTAATGGTATTTAAAGTGTCATAGGCAATAAGCATCTGATCCTGCTCCATAAACCGTAGGCTCGTTGCATGAACTCCGGGCGCTGTTAGAGACAGCTGTGCTTCCTTTGTAACTCAAGTCATTTCCAAACTGGGCAGCTCTCCAGGTGTGTTTTCAGACAAACAACGTACGTTAGAAAAAAGTCATGTCCCGAGTCTCTCAGCGGCGGGCTAGACACGGGAGAGTCAAAACTGAGGGTTTACATGAGAACACTCAGGGGTCCTGACCTCCCTGAGAGGCCAGGAATCAAGGGAAGGGTGTCCACAAGCCGCTTTCCTGCCCTTTGCTTGGAGAATGGGAGGCCGGATACCTTTCCCAGCACTCTCACTTCATTGACTGTTGAGCCAAAGCCATCTGCAAGTACCAGGATGGAAGATGACAATTTTGGGGGAGGGGGGAGTGTCTCAAAACAGAGCCATCACCTTCAAAAGAGATAGAATCCTTCCCATGCACAGTGAAATCTAAAAGGATGGGGCCTCGTGGTCTCTACTCCAGTGATAGCATGGGAGGAAGCCCTCACCGGACCAGAAGGAATTGCAAACAGCTTTCCTCCAGCTCACTGTCTCTACACAGACCTATAATAGGTTATTAGGAACAATCAATTGGTAATAATTACTTTGCTTCCCAGTCATCACTAAGCATTGAGTGACTCCTCTTCAGGTGTGTAAAAGCTCTAAGGAGGCAGGCTGGGCAGGGAACTTTTCTATATTCACCCCACGTTGATTATTCCACAACCAGCAGGTACACCTGAGTACAAGCCCAGGCCAAGACGCTGCAGCTTGTAGTCTCCTGGGTTCAATGACATTGGTTGATTCAAGGAGGCCAAGCAAAGGTTTGCCTCCTGGAAGTCCATTCCAAGGCAAAGAGCTTCTCACTGCTCTGATTTCACTTGAGTTGCTTTGCACCTGCAAGTGGCTTGCTTACCCACTCCGGCTCTGCACTGTTATGACATACTGTGTGCTCGCTTTCAGGCTAAGTACATTTCGTGTCTGCCTCACCATCAACAATGCAAAAGCAAAAAAAAAAAAAAAAAAAAAAACAGAAATGCAGGGGATCCGGGAGGACTCTCTGGAATCCTTCTAGGGTGGGTAGAATTTCAACATAGACAAGCCAGGCCTGAAATGAACCAACAGGTCTTGAGGTTCCAGAATGCCACTCAAACTCACAGGTAGAAGGTGTCTCAGGCTTGCTTCAGGCAGGCCCAGGTGGACAGCTGGGCAGCTACACCTATCCCCAAACACGTAGAAAAATCTGGGTCTCTGCATGAACCCATACCTGTCACACTACCCCAAGTTCAATTCTACATACATGGCCCGTTCATTTGTATGTTATAGCCTGGGCTATAAGGACTTGCCTCCCCCAGGGCCTTGCCTCCCTTGGGGGTTTAGGCAGTGTCTCTGCTGCTCCCCTCTGAGAGTCAAATCTTCAGACCTGTCATCTCCACAGAATACTTTACCTCAGGTGGAGGGGAGCCATGGTCCACTTATGTTCAGTCCATAGAGCGCAACCCCTCAGGCGTTGTTCAGTTTGAAGGGAAGAGCTCAACAGCTTTGCATAGATTAAAGAGGGAAGCCAAGAGTCTAGAAATAACTAATCTCCCAGCGTCACTTCAAACAAGTGCAGCATACCAGGTATGTGTTATTTGTCAATCAATTAGACCTCGAGCCAGCTAATCTGGCAGGTCCCTTTTCTTCCCTTGAAGCAGCCTCTGAAGGCCTACGAACATGTCACCCAACCACAGATGCAGTGTTCAAGGTCTGCTTTACAAGGCCATTTACCCAGCACTACAGGTAGCCTTTCAAATCCACGAATAAACCGCCCCCCCCCCAAATGCTGTTTAATGTTCTTGAAAGCGTTCAGAGAAGGACATGCCCCTCACAGTGGGGGGGGGGGCAGTAGTAGTAGGTTTTTTTATTTTTTTAGCTTAAAGCTGGAGGGTGAAATTATTGAAGCCATCTTCTGCTCTGCTTTAATTTTCACCAGCTCTTGGCTAGTTTACTTTAACAAGTAATGTTTGATTGAATTCAGGCCTGCTTTTGTTTACAAAGTGAACGAGAGCCAGCAAGTCGTGGCCTGTCTAATTTGCACATCCACTGGCTTGGTCCCTCCCCTTTAAACAAAAATCTGGAGTTTGGGATTTATCGTTGATTCGGTTAGCTCAAATGATGTTAATGGTTAAAATGTACCTCCCGTCCCATCCTTGAGATTTCGGCAACATCACCCAAGCAATTTTACTGTACAAGGCTGAGCTGGCCTCCCACCCACACGCCCTCCCCACCCCACCCCCCAAAAAAGAAGAAAAGAAAAAAGAAAAAAACACATCTTACCTCCCAACTCACCAAGATTTCAGATGCCAACAAGAGAGCTGAAGATAAAAATCCACAGGTGGGAAAAGACAAACACAGGACTCTAGAAATTCGCCATTGTAGGAACTAAGCCAGTTCATCTGGAAGAACAATAGAAGGTCAGTACGTCAGCACAACAGAGGGGTAGTTGTACTCGTAGAGAGCAGCTGGGTCCCTCTGTCTTGAGCAGCCACAGTCCTATGACAACTGGACAAACCAGAAGTTCTCAAACCTTCCTGGAGGCCTAGCCCCAAGGTTCCCTTCCTTAGAGAGCCTGCCTGAGAAGGGCAGGGTCAAATCTGTATAAACACAAAGTCCCCACTAGTGGCTCTGGAGACCCACGTGTCAGCAGTAATCTACTCTTCAGTCCTGTTTAATGTTGTCTTATCTGGTCCCTCACATCTTTCTTCCTTAAACGCTCTACCCCAACTCTTTCGGTCTGTTGTCCTAGGCTATGAAGCCTGTACACAGTTCCTTATGTGTGCGGGGTGATGACTTTGCCCCCTTAATTCTTGTGTGCAACATCCTCGTGCATCCTGCTGTTGGTATGCGTTCCACATGATCCTTAGAGCCTGCCAAAGCCACTGGACTCGCACAGACCATGGCATTCCATCTCCACGCACTTTCCATTCTCCTAGCAGCAAGACCAGGCTCATCCCCAGCCTCCTCCACTCCCATGCAGATAATCTGCTCTCTCTTTGATCTAGCCTGTCCCTGCAGGTCGCTTACTTCATTGCAACCTCTTTTGAAATGAGAAGAGAATGACTCCGATCCTGTGGTATTAGGGGGTTGACTATTAGCTTCATCCCCTTCAGAGGAAACGCTGCACATCCTATTATCCCTGGTTCTTCAAAGCCCAGCCTAGCAGGTGGCATGTGACAGATATTTAAATATTTGTTCAACATATAGATGAACATCCAAGTCAACTTGGCTTTTAGAGACTACTTTAATGGCCTATGACTTTTCAGAACACATGTTAACCATATCTAATCCCCAAACCCCATAGATGGGAAGTCACCCGTGTTACACTGGAACCCAGGAAGCTGGGGTCCTGAAGAGTTTCAATTTTTCCAAGGTCAATGGAGTTGGCCAATTTCAGGTGAGCCAGGAGTCAAGGTTGGTTGACTTGTTGTGGTTTGTGTTTACTTTTATTACTCGTGAATAAAATAATGCAGCCTATGTCATAGGGAAGAATATCTACAGGGAGGATACCTACAAAATGCCTTCTGAAAGAGCCCAAGCATTTAATATGCATCAGCTAGTGTTGTTCTTAAATAATATTCTCTCTCCAAGTCTTCTTCCAATGGTTTCCAAGTCCGTCTGCCCTATCCCCACCCCCACCCCTGCCCTAGTCTGACTCAGTTTTGCCAATACAACTGGATTTCCTATTGTGAACTTTGCAATGTAATTCCTGCACTAACTACTCAGCCAGGTCAAATCCCACAGGTCCTGAGTGCAGTCCTCCACGAGGTTGCCCTCCCTTTGGACACCAGCCATGAACTCTGAGATTATCAGGCCACCTGCATTTCTGATTAACCAGCTACCAATCCCGGGCTTCCCACATCTCCTCCAGGACTAACAATTCAACTGAACAACCTGTAGCACTCAGGAAACACTACACTTAGAGTTTTAGCTATGCAAAAAAGCTGTGAGTCAGGATCCACAACACAGGGACATAGCAGTTCTGGGAGATCCCCAAACGCAGGACATCCATGTCCTCGGGATCCTCTCCTTCCACATTCCAGCCAGGAAACTCATCTGAGGTATAGTGGTCCAGAATTTTAACCGGGTTTTATCATATAGGCACAATTGGGTGAGTCATTAGCCATGTAAATAACTGAATTCTAGGACCCAGTCTCCTCAGATCAGACTAGCAGCACACGGATGCAGCCTTAATGACTGAATTGCATGGTTCCAAAGCAACCAGCCCTTAATCTGAATCATCACCTGTGGGAGCCTGTTCTCGGGTTCCTCGTGTCTTTACCCAGCAGGTCTGAATAGAGGGTGATCAGGACCACGGGCCTGAGTGCAGGTGTCTGAGATGGTCTGCACTTGGCTGTGCTGGGGGAGGAGGTCTTTTGCTCCACCCCTTGGCGTCTCTATAAAAACCCTGGGCCAGAGACAGTCGGGGCCCGTAGGAATAGGTTCCAGGCCCTCTCGAGGCTATCCTTTATTTTCTATCTGTTTATCTCCGCAAGATTCTCTGCTATAAATCCTTCTATCTAATATTTCCTGCTGCTCGCACTCAAGAAAACTCTGGGGAGCTGTGGGGTTGGTAGGTAAATGCCCCACAATCACCCAGAGTAGATTCAGGATGAAGCTAAAGGTTGAACTGCATGGTTGCAAATTGATCAGCCCTCACTCTGAGTCATCTCCTAGCATAGATCCAGGATCAAGCTGAAGGAGCACCCTAAACACAAAGACACACCCACCACATACAAACTCCCAAGGATTTCAAGTTTACTTTTTAAGAACAAAGTATGGCCAGTATTTAAGAGGCCTCTGTCCTGTTCGGTCTCTTCTTTGTCCCCAAGGACTGGTGAGTTCTGGGTCAATGCCAGATGGTCTTGCCCCAGCTCTCTATTTTTACCTTTTGTTGCACTCAGGTTCCTAAGAACCTGTTCTTTTTCTCCCTAGTTAGACTAGAAGAATCGCAGGGACAGGGATCAGGTCCATCAGGCTCACCCTGCGTTGGCAGGCCCTCCCACTGATCCAAGGTCACAGTTAACGGCATATTGCATAATAAGGCATATTGCATGTGACTTCCACCTCATGCATTTATTCATGGTATGTAAATGATAGTTTTAAACCTAAATCTAGCACCAAGTTTCAGCTTCTACAGGTATGAAAAAGCAATAGGTTAACAAGAGAAATCTCCTGGTCACTCAAAAAGATCTCAATATAGATTTGAAATACATTTTATTTCATAACTTATTGTTTCTACAAGACAGACTTGGAAAAACTGAGGCAAACGGCATGCAAATAACATCCTCATGTTTCCTCTGGAAGGTGTTAATAACTGTAGGGGGTGAAGGGAGATGCTGATGGATTTTCCTTTGCTTGGCTGTTAGGTGATCTTCACTTACTTTACCAAACAATCGTGTTCTCAGTAGCAGAGTGTTCTTTCAGAAAATAGGATCTTTTTGTAAAATGGAATTCACAGTTTTAGCATGTAATGAGAAGCACAACCATCCTGGTCCAATGGATGAGAAGGAAGTGGGAAGCAGGCCTTTGTAATCCATGCCTCACAGCCAAGCTCAGGCTAACTCTTGACTTTTAGAAAATTGAACTGCTTACTTTCCACAGCCGTTGATAGACTCGAATTGACTGGAACTCCATTTCCTCATTTTCATTGTTGCAAGTTTTGTTCACAGCTGTTGGAGATTGTCAGTTCCACAGTCTGATGTCACAGTCAGAAGTAGTGTGTGTGATCAGAAAGCACATGTCCATAAAGGACAAATAACTTGACTTCCTATACCATGGCAATAGCCACAATGGTCCTAGAGCCCTATTTCCTGCTATCCATCCCTCAATTTTTTTCTCTATAACATCTTATACCAATATTTCTGCCATGTGTGCCACAGATTCTAACAATGGTCATCACTAGGAAATGTTTGTTGAATTATGGTAATTTTTATTTCTGAGAAGAGATGTGTCTCACATACATGCAGGCGTGCTTCTGACAGAATCTCGACTTTCATGTCTTTAGGTTACTTTTGCACCTACACAGATTATCGATCATCTTCTGCACAGTACCACCCTACTGAGAACTCAATGGGTCAGTCATTCCTCGGCATTCTTCAGTGTCTCCCAGTCCCTGTAGTTAAAGGCACAGTCCTCCACAGCGTACCCTTTACGACCTGCCGCTCTCTTGTCTCATGAAGTGGATTTCCTCTCCAAGTCCCAGCATAAAAGGCAATCAACTATGTTATAATTTCAGAAACTGACTAGGGGAAGAGAACAAAGTGATTGTATCTCCTAAGGACATTCCAACTTTCTTCTTAGTTTTACTGGACTGAAAAAAAAATTATTTATTTAATTTATTTATTTAGTACCCAACACACACTAACATGGTAGTGCCTTAAATGTGGAATGAATGAGATGTGTGTGTATGTGCGGATTTGTGACTTGAATGTTTTCACGATTAACTGCAACGGGATAGACCCTTGGTACCATAGTGTTCATGTTCAGGTTGCTAACTAGTAAATACTGTAATTCAGCAAGAGTCAATATCACCATTTAAAAAGACAAGTCATAGCATATCTTCTCTCTTTGAAATCTTCAATGGCTCCTTACCGTGCTTGGATTAAAAGCATGCTCACCACAGTAGCCCATATGACCCACACAATCTTACTCTACCTCCTTCACCAACTACATCCATCTCAAAATTTCTTACTTATTATCAGGCACACTATCTGTCTTTCTTTTGGCTTCATTTTAATTCATATAGTTCAGGGGCTTCACATATGCTGTTACCTCTTCTAGGAATACTTATCTTGTTCTCCATGCTCATCCCTACAGCCTCTACCAAGAACTCTCATGTGTTTATGTAAAGAGATTTTGTTCTCACCAAATCATAGAGGCCATTTTAATTCTACTTGATCTGTATAAAAAAGCATCATCATTACTTTCCTACTGCTATGACAAAACACCATGACCAAGGCTGCTTATAAAAGAAAGCATTGAATTTGGCTTATAGTTTCAGGGGGCTGGAGTCTATGATGGCAGAAAAAAAAAGGTATGGCAACAGGAGTATCTGGGAGCTCAGATCTTGATCTTCAACTGGAGGTAGAGAGAGCACACTGGGAATAATGCCAGTCTTTGAAACCTCAAAGCCTGCCCCTAATGCGCACCTTCTCTAACAAGGTCATACCGCCTAATCCTTCCCAAATAGTTCTACCAACTGGAGACCAAGTATTTAAGACATGAGTCTGTGAGGGCCATTCTCATTCAAACCACATTAAGTAAGTCTTGTGGTTTGTATAAGTGTCTTTCAAAGACCCACATCTTAAAGGTTTGGTCTCCAACCCATGGTGTTATAGAGAAGTGATGCAACATTTAAAATGTAGGGGCTGACGGGAGAAAATCCAGTCTT